ATATATATATATATATATATATAATGTCTTGTGTGGTGCATATTTATTTTGGGTGGTATAGAGAATTGTCCATTATAATATGTGGTCCCATCCCAATATTTTCCTATTCTCACATAAATAGGTACATCCTTTTTTGCCACAAATTTGGATGAGGAAAATCTTCAACTGGAGATACTACACAAAAGAAAAATCACCCACATCCTTTTATCCAATCCTACCATTATGGCCACCATATTCTCTCCCTCCGCCGTCTTCTCAAACTCCACCACCGCCGCAACTACCCCAAGACAGCCTCAATCTCCGCCGACACCGAAAAGCCAACTTTCAATCCCTCTTGCCAAACAACCATTAACAACCTTAGTAGCAACCGCCGCGGCAGTCACAATTCTCTCAACTGCCACATCATCACTAGCTGACTCCCCATCAACACCAAACTATCAACTTTACTATGGTACTGCCGCAAGCGCCGCCAACTACGGCGGCTACGGCGGCAACTCCAGCAAACAAGCCTCCGCCGAGTATGTCTATGACGTGCCCGAAGGGTGGAAAGAGCGCTTAGTATCCAAGGTTGAAAAAGGTATGTTTAACTTATTGTTAAACCTTATGTAAATTTTTAGTTAGTATTGTGTTGTTCTAAATTTATTTAGAAGAAAAAGTAACTTATGTTAAGAACATACTCTAATAATTATGATATATAGTAATTGAGATGTGTAATGTAACAAAATGGCAATGGTTTATTATGTTTAATTTGATTGTCGGTAATAGGAGTATATGTTGATGATTGTTACAAAATTGTAGCTGCGGCTATAGTTGTTCAATTGTTAAATGCTATTCACATAAAATAGCTAGCTTAATCGTTACATAGTACAAAAATTATGATTTATGTGATTTATACTAATATAAGATTGAGATCATGTGTAGTTGTGTAAAAATTAAATTAATGATGGTTAAGTCTTGTTTAATTTGATATCATTAGGTACAAATGGGACTGATAGTGAGTTCTATAACCCGAAAAAGAGGACAGAAAAGGAGTACTTAACATTCCTTGCCGGGTTCAGGCAGCTAGCGCCGAGGGACGTGATCTTGAACAACTTGGCGTTGTCGGACGTGGACTTGCAAGACTTGATCGCAAGCGCGAACAGCGTGACGTCGGAGGAGAAGATGGACGAGAAAGGGCAGGAGTACTATGTGTATGAGATTGATGGTGTGGCGGCTCACAGCTTGATCACTGTGACATGTGCAAAGAACAAGCTTTATGCTCATTTTGTGAATGCTCCCACGCCTGAGTGGAACCGGGACAAGGACATGTTGCAGCATGTTCATGAGTCTTTTAGAACTGTTGGCTCCTACTAATTATCAATAATAATAATCATAATAATTAACTAGTCTCTTTCTTCACGAAGAGATTTTTGAGGCCTCATTCTGCCCAAAGTTACTTGCTTGCATCATTGTGGAAATGTTTTCTAGTTGATCAAGTAATATTGCTCTTTGAATAAAAGAAAAACAATATTATACGTGAGCTT